TGGAAGCACGACATCACATTGGATGAAGCATATGTCTACTTAAGTATTAGTAACAAGGTCCGAGTGATTTATTATCTTCTTGTCTGTGAAACGACATTTCGAATATAGTATAGAGCTTGTCGCAAACGTTTTTCCAAGGAGTTTGTGGTGGTTGCAGGTTACAACTATAATGGAAAGTTAAACATTTAGAGAGTATGAAAAATGCAAAGATTAACTCTCCATACCACCAAGCAAATGTGTTGATACGCTATAGCATGGGGATTCTATTTTTTAATGGACTGGATGCCGCAAACAAGAGATCCGTCAAAGTCGAGGTGCCAGTTTCTCTACAAAATACAAGTACAAACGATAATTCATACTAAACCATTCCCTGACATCTCCCATGGACTTCTTTTGAGTCGTGCAAACAGGTCTTCTTCCGCACACAGTTGATGGACTGTAAAAAGCATTTATAAAAGGGAAGAACGATATCAGATTATTGACCAAAGCCTCCTGAAAGCCTATCACTTCCAAATTAGAGACAACTATTGCAGAAAATACCTTGAGTAGTTTACACTAAATTCAACAAATAAAAGTACTTACTGCTATACTCGTTCAATTAAATAGATTCAAAAATGTATTTGTAGAAAGCATTATTCTTTCTTCTTCTGCTCGGATCCTCCAGTTGTAATGTATAGTAGAGGTTCTCAACCTTGTTAGTTACATGTATTCTCTTATTTCTCTGATCTGATTGGAGTTTGTTTTCCGTGTTGCTCTGCTTATTATGTCATTCTTCGATCGTCAGTACAGAAACTCTGTAACGTCTGCCCTCCAGTGGCATAATAGTAAGTCTGGAGGCTTATAATGCTATAAACCGGGTTTCGACACCCGTGATGGGCAGAGCACAGATAACCCATTGTGTAGCTTTGCGCTTAACAACAAATAAATAAACAGAGTATAACATCTATATTTTTTGTTTTCCCAGAGTTTACGTCACATTTAATGCTGTTGTGAGATATCATTTATCTTACCAGACTACAAGTTTTATAACTGCAGTGTATTCTTAAAACTAACAACAACAGAAAAATCTATTGCTCCGCCATAATATAAACTTATTTCTTTCGTAAACTGTAAATTCCATGCGAGTGAGACGAGTCGTACACCTGAGGCTTTTCGGTAAACTTAAGAGTTTATAACACTAACATTCTCAGCTCAATACCTGGCTGAGTGCAGATAGTCACGCCGTTGTGTGGCGTTGCATTGAAACAAGTACCATATCTTTATGCACTCTTGGCTGAAGTATGAATTACTAATTTTTGGCAGTTGTTATTGTTTTTATTGCTTGAGATGTTTGAAACCGTTCAAATAATTATATTTTATGTCATTTGGTAGATTATTCTAGTTGATTTACCTTTAATTTAGATATTTTGAAATATTGTTTTGAAAGATTCAACTATTCACGACCTTCAAAATGCAAAGAAAATAAATTAACTTGCTTTAAGCATATCAGACAGTTACATGCAAATACAACTGCTTCAAATAGTAATTCCTGCGAAGTACTACATTTTTACGTCAAACGTGTATAATAATACTCAATATCGAATATTGAAATTAAATTAGAGTTACTTATGTGATACTTAGGCAAGTTTAATTTGAATCTCAAATTTTATCACTAAAATTTTAAAGTTTGATAAAGGAAACTGAAGCTAGGTGTAATGTAACGTTGACTGAAGTTGAGAGAATGTGAGAAAGTAGCTGGCCTCTTAGGAATAAGAAGCTTACAGTACTCTAAGTTATTAGAAATTCATTGGAATGAATGAGCATAGTGACCACGTTTCTAAGTTCAGCTGGTATGGAGACTACAAGACCCCCTATTATTACAAAACGTTATAATCCGATATACGGGAAACAGATGCAAAGTTAGAAAGAAAAGGACAGATTCGGCGTCGGTTTGAAAAAGGAATCTAATAAAAAGAAAAAAAAATAGGAGTTCATTGGAAAGTAGAAAAAGAAAGAGAAGAGAAAAAGACCAGGAGGTGTGAGAGAGAACGAATAAATCAAGAGAGGTGAAGGAAGAAAGTAATATGTTACCTGTAAGAAACAAATCCTGGTAATGAAGATCAATTTGTTATGTTTATATTGGTATGAGTACATCTCTCATAGGAATAAATAAATCCTACAAACGTTGATGGACACAAGAAGGGAAAGTAAAGTGTGAGTATAACACGATCTTAACAAAAACAATAGGACAAAAATAAATCCACGTTTGTACTCGCACTTTTCAAAATTATTGTGATAATATTCGTATTTTGACATAAATAGTAACAGATATATGTTATAAATATAAATATTCAGACGACTCCAAACGTGTTAATAATAACGTAACAAATCGAGATCTAAATCTTCAGACTACTTTAGAAGTATTAATAAAAAAGTAACAAATCGAAAGGTACCTGTTCATACCTCTTCAAAAAGTGTTGATAAAAAGTAACAAATCGAAACATAAGTGCTCAGACTACTTCAATAAAGTTAACAAAAAGTAACAAATTAAAATCTAAATGTTCAAACACTTCAAAAGTGTTAATAAAAAAGTAGAAATAATCGAAATCCAGCCGATAGTCAGCTATACCTATTTAAAATTCCAGCGCAATTCAGAAAATTCGGTGCTAGAAAAAAACCTAATAATGTTTCGCACAGTCTATATCAAGATAATATAAATGTTTTAAACTCTAATCTATTGTAGACTCTAATGTTGAAAAAATGTTTATAAATATGATCAATAAACCTAGAATACTTCTAAATATTTAAAATTTCAAATTAGGTTAAACTATATATATTTACCCAACAAAAAAAAACTATCTTTCTACTGTAGAATTTGAATCTCCATCAAGTTGCAATGATATATACAAATCTGATTCAAAGCTTTGCTCTCAGCATCGTCACATACTCCAAAACGTTTATAGCATTTAAAGTATTATCTTTTTTTTTTTTAAAGTTCAAGAATTACTTAATTTGTTGGTACGTTCCATAAAGTGTTGATCCAACATGGGTACACCTACATGCCACCATAAGTCATTATAAATATAGATTATGATGATAGTTACGACGTTCACCTTAGAATTAGATTTTATATTTGTACACATTAAAAAAAAAAAAACACAGACAGAATCGTCAATCGGCAATGGAACACGGGTCCCGTGCCCCGATTGTAATTGACAGTGCCCAGAATCCCCAGTTGATGTCTTGAGAAATCATAATGGAAAATCGTGATCGATATCATACTGAACCCTCCCCCCCCCCCAGTGGCAGAGCGGTATGTCTGCGGACTTACAACGCTAGAATCCTGGTTTCGATACTCGTGGTGGGCAGAACACAGATAGCCCATTGTGTAGTTTTGTTCTTAATTACAAACAAACAAACTGAAACGCTGAAAATTCCTGATCTTTTAATCATCTAGCGACATCACAACCCACAGAACGTTATTTCTTTACTTTATAATTTATTTTATTTGCAACTAAGTCTGCATTCTCCTTTTGGTTAATAGGCTGCGAATTTATGTATTTTGTAAAGACTCAAAACTTCTAATTTGTGTCCGATACTGAGCTTGGAACTACAGTCTTATCGCTGGTTGATTATATTAAACCAAGGTCACCGGTAAATCATATATTAAGTATATCTCGCATATTTCCTTTTTACTCCAGGTTATGAGCATGTAAAATAATTTAGTTTAATGTCCTTGTGCACATGAATAACTTAAGTATACATTTATCTATGTGGAAATGTAGAAATAACTAATCTTGTATCTTTTTTTTCTTATCTGGTATATAATAACTTTAAAGGAGATGTTTTTGAGAGTGTTGTTTTTAGTAACAGAGCTACTTAAAGGGTTTCGGTTGTTAAAAAATAGTAATTACCTTCTTCTTTTAACAACGAAAAGCATTCTTATCTTCAACTACTAACTAGAAAGAAGGTTTGGTTATTTGGTTCCAGGGGACCAGAAAGAAGGAAATCATTCAGCAGGATCCACTTCGATAACAGCCTTGTTCGGCTCTTTGAAATGAATAACGGGATTCCCTGTTACATTTACAACACACCCTCAGCTGAAAGTGTAAAGTATGTTCAGCGACATCACGGCTCGAACCTTGGACCGTAAGATCCGCAGCTCAACACTTTAAACGTTTATTATTTTTGTTCTTTTCTCACGTGATTTCTTTTGTTTACTCAATGTACGATACTATTTATTTGGAAGTAGCTGACTTAAGAACGTTTTAGTAGGAGTACCAATTAATCTGGCATACCATATTTTGTTAGAAAATAACAATCCTGATGTTTAAAACATATATATTCGAAATTTTACTCTGTAAAAATAATAACAACGAACTATTTGTTTAATATTTTCCATCTTCAACAATTCTAATTACTTACATAAGTAATGATAATAGAGAATAAAAACTGTAGCTAAGTTCTGAATGTCTATATTTTAAATTTCGTCAAATTCAAGAATTAACGCTAAACCGTCGGATCAACGTAATTTTGAAATCACGATGCAGGACTTTTGGAACAAGTTTCTGTATTTGAAATAAACTGTTTAAGTGCACGTTGAACCTAAATAATGAACGCTAATGTTCCAGTGATACCGAAATATCGAAAGCACTAACTTTAACTATAATTCGTTTTCAGTGTGGATCGTGTCTATGAAAAGAGATTTTAGAGACAATTTTAAACTACTTTAAGATTCAGTGTTTGAAGTTTTTTGCATGATTTACATCATTTAATATGCTTTTGTTCAAGTAGTTTTGGTGAAATTCGAGACTGTACCTGAAAGTTTAGAGCCAAGTTTTGCAGGCATTTCTAATTACACTCTATATTTACATTAGTTGCTAGCCTAGTACAAGCTGGTATTTGACGCAAATATACGGTCGTGCCCTCTTTAGGCAGGTATACATCAAAGCTATTATATACACTGTTGTCATGGAGACGACAGATATTTCACCTGTCAACAAAGTACTCAGCACGTAACGTCAGAAGTGCACAGGAAAAATATTTCTGTGACGATCTTGTTTCTCTAAATATTTTCAAAAAGCCTGAAAGTGAGGAACGTTTTAACAAGGTAAGGATAAAGACAAGAGGGTTAGTCATATGATTTTCTTACAGGTTCTTGTTTTGGAATTATTTTTGCATTTTTCTTTCAATGAAATCCATACGATGGTCGTTAAATGTAGTTTGGCCGTAAGTTGTCGGGCAGTTTGACTTTTCTAAACAGCTAATTACTCTGTTACGAATGTTTCAATGTTCCGCTCGATGTTTTTCGTATCTAGTAAACTTAATGTGCGCAACGGAAAAGTGACAAAAAGAATTAATTAGTGTGAAAAGCTAAATGCAGTAATGTAGTTTTTTGTATAAATGCTTGAATAAATGGAAATAGAATGCTAAACAACAATAGCAGAAAAAAAAATGTAACTCTGAACTTTACTTTATGAAGTGTTATCCTAGTTTTACCAGCAACTTTAAGTAATGCTTCCTTAGTCTTTTGGCCCGGCATAGCCAGGTGGTTAGGGCGCTCGACTCGCAATCTGAGGGTCGCGGTTTCGAATACCCGTCACACCAAACATGCTCGCCCTTTCAACCGTGGGGGCGTTATAATGTGACGGCC